CTTGACTGCTTTCCCAGGTCACAGGCAGGGTGCTGGATAGGAATCAGGGCTTCAGGGATTAGAATCTGCACCCATATGGGAATCTGGTGCATTCAAGGCAATATCTTTCACCGCTAGGCCAGTGCACCAGGCCCCTGAAGTTTTTAGCATATTATGTTTATTGGAGTTACTTACTTGTTTTGTATAGAAAATGTTGAAGAATTTTAAGTTTCCTAATGAAAATAAGAGTAATAGTATATAATTGATGATTTTGCAGATGGTATCTGAGTACATTTCATTTACTATATCATTTAATACTCGTGCAACCTTATCAAGTTTACAGGAAATTTTTACATCTTTATTATGCAGTAATGGAAACTGAGGAATAGAAAAGTTATTTAACAGATCCAGTCTTTGGACCTAAATAGGAAAAATAGGACCTTCTTTAATAAGCTTCAGTTCTAACAGCAATGAAGACATATTGCTCATCTGAGATCATCTATTGTAGTTGTTCAATAATTAATTACATGATTAATGTTTTAAGAATTAAAGAAGTTAAAGTGGTAGAATCTTCTATTCAGAGTTAATTTGAAAATTAATGTTTGCAGTAAAGTTCTTTCAAAGGGTATTAGTAACAATACAAAATGATGCATTTTATAAAAACAGAAATTAATGATAGGAATTGTTTTTATGCTGATTTGTATAAACATTTTAGTTTAATTATTTTATTTATTTGAAAGCCAGAGAGAGAGAGATTATGATAGATAGGTTAATAGAAAGAAAGGAAGGTAAGTAGGTAAAAAGAGGGAGGCAAGGTAAGAGATCGTTGATCTGCTGGTTCATTCCTCAGACGCCTGCGATAGTTGCCCCCTGTTAAGCCTTTGTGTGTGTGTGTATAGAAAATTAGAAGTTTGCATTTGTTCACAGAAAAATGCAATTTGGAGAAAAATAAGTTGTTTTATCACTTTAATTACATCTTTACTAGAAAATTTACCATATTTTAATTTTCAATTAGTCTTTAAAAGACTCATCATGAATTATAAATATAATTTTAAGAACATTATGATATTTTCTTCTAATGGCAGTATGCATGAACGTGACCTCAAGGCAACCTTCTGTGGTTAATAAAAGATTTCTCAGAGTTCAAACAAAAAAAAAAACAGAGCGTGTTAGAGATATACCTGTGTTAAATGATTTATTACAGAGGTTTGCTTTACGAATTTAGGTGGGTCAAGTGAGCCTGATGATGACTCTGTGGAGTGCCAAGGATGATTCTGAGCAGGCCAGACTCCTTGGCTTTGGGCTGCATTTGTTATCCACAGGGAGTTAGGAAGATAAAATCACAGGGAGGAGGAAACCCCAGGGATATTGGTAAATAAGGTCAATTTTCTGGTAAAATGTAATGAAAGTGATATAGATAGATTTTATGTATAAATATTTATACATTTTAAAAATATATTTTATAAGTAAAAGCAGTATATATAAAAGTAATAATCTCTTGCTCGGGGTAACCTTAATTATTTTAAAAGGGCTCACTTGTCTGTTGCCTCCCAACCAGGGTAATCTCCCAGTTGATTTAATCAAAGGCAATTAATAGGGTCTTAATTATATTTGCAAAATCCTTGCCATATAGTAACCTAATTATACTCTTGCTGACCCTGTCCATGCTCAAGGGGAGGTGATTGTGCGGGGTGTTTAGGCTATACCTAAGGCTCTGGGACTTTGTTTCTCTCTTGCTAATGGGTTTCCCAAAAATGCTGCTCACGTGAGAAACTCTTTAGAGCCTTTCTCTTTACAAATTCATTCACTGCAGTGTCTGCATGTGAGATTTCTGACAACAGGAATAAAGAGAGCAATTTCCTTTTTGCATCTCTATCCTAACTGGACTAATCTTGGCTTTCTCTGTCAGCTTCAGTAATCTCTGTGGTGTGTCACTGTCACTGTTTCACAATAAAGGCACTACAAAGGAGCACATTTTTGGAAAAAATCCTTATTAATTTTTAGTTTTTCTTAACTTTATAATGTACCTTAAGTTGATTAAGCTACTACACCATATATAAGGCCTGATGCTGTTGCATAACAAGGTTAAAATTCTGTCACTCTAGCATCCCATATGGTCCCTGTCTGATGTCCTGGCTGTTCCACTTCTGATCCAGCTCCCTGCTTATGTCCTTGGGACAGCAGCAGAATATGGCCCAATTGTTTGTGCCCTTCACCAATGCAGGAGATGTGGAAGAAGCTCCTGGCATGAAATTGACCGAGCTCCAACTGTTGAGGCCATTTGGTGCATGAACCCTGAATTGGAAAATCTCCCTTTTTGTTCTCTTTGTAATTTTGCCTTTAAAATAAGAAAAATAAACCAGTCTTTAAAAAGAGAAAAACCACAAATAGACAACCAAGCAAAACTATCTTCCAAGTATGAAAGCCTTTACTTTCTTCCATTTAGTCATGTGACTAATAATTTTGATAGATTTTTAAATGATTTAAGTTAATGCTAGAAGAATTTATCTTAACTGCTTGGTCCCTATAGTTAGAATATAATCCTATGTGTGCCAGTGCAGTGGTATAACAGGCTAATACTTTGCTTGTTGAAACTAGCATCCCATATGGGCAGCAGTTTCTGTCTCAACTGCTCTACTTCTAAACCAGCTTCCTGCTTTTGATCTGGGAAAGTAGCACCCACACGAGAGACCTGGAAGAAGCTCCTGGCTCCCAGCTATGGACCAGCGCAGCTCTGGCCATTGTAGCTATTTGGGGAATGAGCCAGTGGATGGAAGATCTGTCTCTCCCTCTCTAACTCTGGCTTTCCAAGTAAACTAAATCTGAAAAAGAAACAAACAAAGAAAAAGGAATTCAATCCTATGGGGCTAGTTTTGCTTTCCTGATGAGTCTTATTTGTTGTACCTGATGCCTATATGGCACTTAACAAGGCTCTTGTCTTTCAGATGGTTTTATCTTCACATTAAAATCAGTTTGGTGTGCTTAATATCAGACTGTCACTTAAAAAGTTTTAGGTCAATCTTTTTTTACTTCTGGAACCATTTTAATATCTACTTGAAAATTAGATTCTTCAAGAACTAGAAAAAGAAATTTGGTTTTTGTTTAGCTTTTTTAGTGTGGCTCTTATTGTTTCTTCATATCTCCTTATTTTCAATGTTATTTGGGATATTAGAAATGACATATCATAGGAAGTTCTGAATTTTATTTATTTTTTTCTTCTAAAGAGTGACCTTGGCTTACAGGGAGTTATCCTTTTTGGATGGAAACTTCAGTTTCAGTGCCATTGTTACTGAGCCATTGGTACTCCTTTCATTTTCGATTATACTAGGCTTCCCTTTAGTGTGCCTGCTCTTGCAGTCAGCAAGAATTTGTACAAATTTTATAAGATTTTTGGGTATCTTTTTAGTCAAGGATTTATTGAACTCATCCAATTTTCTGATTGCTAGTGAGTACTGAAGTATATCCTCTGATACTACAAGCTCATGGGACAGCAGCTTTCTTTAGCTTAAATTACAGAGAGGGCTTTACCTGAAGCAAAAGGTATTGAATGAACAAATCTGGCCAGTGTGCTATTTGCCTTTCTAGAGAAATCTATCCAATTTTTCCCAGTATATGGTCCCTTACAAGTGCTTTTAATTTAATTTTATATTTTTCCCCAAAATTTATAATGTGAGGGTTTGTCTAATAGCTAAATTGTTCCATCATTTCTTAAAGCAGAGTATCTCAGAAACAAACACAGAATTAGAAAGTGATGTCTCATGTAAAGATAACTCATTTAGATATATGAATATAGTTAACAGGTATTTTTACTGCTTATCTAATCTGGATACTTTAGTTAAACAGGCAATTGTCTTAAATGCTTTTATTGTATGTCACTGCTGGATTGTGCTATGCTTATAATTGTTGTTTTAAAAGCTACTGACTCATTTTCATCTGAATTTTTCTAAGTTTGTGGTATAGAAAATGACAATAATTATAAGAGGCAAAAAGCATGAATGGTTTTTTGTGTTTCAGCTACTGATCACACTACCTTTTCCTGTTGCACCATACAAGTTCCTACATGACTGAAAGAAGTATTAAACATAGTCATCTTAAAATATCACGATTAAGTGTTAAATCTAGAGAATGATGTGAACCTGTTAAAAAAAATAAAACACAACTTTACAAATAATAAATATGTGACTTGTTAACTGCAGTCCACAAACCTATAAATGGACTACAAACCAATTTCCTTGGATTAAAAAAATGTTTAAAAGCTGCTTGTTTTATTCTGAATAAATAATTACCTTGTGATATTTTCTCCAGAATTTAATTTTTCTACTGATGGGGCTTGTATAAGTAGATTAGCAGTTTTAACTTATTTTATAGAATGAAATTAGAATGGTTTATTAACTTATTTAGAGTAGCTTTTCTACATTTGCATAATGGTTATTTTAATAAAAGCTTGGTTGATAATTGTACATTTTCTTCCATGGCCTTGACCTTTTTGTATTAAAAATTTCAGCTATTTTTAATTTAATTTTGATTGATAGAGTAGTCATAATCCTTGTAGGTATATTCAAAAATTTTTGTATAATCATAACTTAATTTCAAACAAGAGTCAATCAATGATGAAAGAAATTTTGGGTAAATTTAACAAGGAAGTGAGTGCAAGGAAGGAAAAGATAAGAAACCACAAGAAGGAAACGTATTATACCTTCTTTGCTGTTTTAAGGACTGTGCAGAATTTGAAGATGTGACAAGTTGCTGAAGATCAGAGTTAAACATGGGAAGAAAAATAAAAAAGGAGCTTATTGGAGAAGGAGTATAAATAAATGGGAAGTGAGAGAAATATTTATTATATTTGGGGACTCAGACAGTAGATGGAGATTTGCTTAGCAATCTCTGATTTTCAGATCTCTGAAATTCAAATTGGAAATTATAGTTCCAGATGCTGAATTAAAGTTTTGGGTAAAAAGTTAAAGCTCATACTTTGTAATATTTTAAAAATATTTGCTTACTTTCTTTTTCTCTATGCTTAGGAAAAATTGGATGTAGGAGTGAGAAAAGAAATTGATGGCATGGGAACATCTGAAATAAAATATGGTGACTCCATATGCTACATACAACATGTAGATACAGGCCTGTGGCTTACTTACCAGTCTGTGGATGTGAAATCAGTGAGAATGGGATCTATACAACGTAAGGTACGTTTATGTCAAACACAGTTTACATGACAATTTATTCGTTTATTGTGAATAAAAAATGTTATAAGAAAAAACAAGGTAGTTAACCTGTTCAGCCACCTGCTGAAGATCTCTGTAAGGTGACCTGTTTCTAGACAATACATCATTGATGTATATAGTGTTATAGCATTCATGCATATAAATATTAGTTGACTAAATGTACTTGCTTTTGGATTCTGGCTTAGTGAGCCTAGTTTACATTAGCCTTTATGATACTCTAAACCCTTCATTGACATTCCTCTACCTAGAAGACAAACACCACACTTTTTGATAATGATGTGGTATCCTCCCCAAGTTCCATCCCCCCATTCTTTTGTCAGTTTTGTTTAACAGCACACCCTATCAGTCCCTCTGAATGCCATTGCACCTTTCTGTGCCTCAGTCTTGACTGCTTATTTTGTTTGAAATGCTTTTTAAAACATTTGCCCCCCTAACTCCTTTCTGTCGGGGGTGAAATTTAAAGACTACCTTAGAAGTTCTTCTTGACTATCTCAGCTTATTTGCCACACCTTTGTATATTCATAAAATATGTATATAACTTCCTGAATTTTAGGTATACTCTGTTATTTTCTAGCATGTCTTTTTTTTTTTTCCATTTCATTTTATGACACAGTTTTATAGGCTCTGGGGTTCCCCCAACCCCTCTCCATACCCTTCCCCCATGGTGGATTCCTCTATCTTGTTGCACTAGTACAGTTCAAATGCAGTCATGATTCTTTCATTGCAAGCATGTACCATGCGTAGAGTCTAGCATCTTATTGTCCAGATAAATTCAACAGTCTTGGGGAGACCATCTCTGGTCTGAAAGCAGAGTTCTAGCCTATGTCTTAATGGTGAGTTCCTAAGGGCATAAATGGCAGTAGATTGCTCATATTTTTATATACAACTTGCGGCACAGTGCACAAAGCTACATAACAAGACACTATTTCTGGAAATGTGAGACTTGGAAAGGAAGGCTTTAGTGAGGCAGAAATTGAATTTTCAAAATATGAATCAAAAAGCTTTATACACAACTAGTATAGGTTAGTCACTATTACTGTGATCTGTTTAGAATGGGTAGTGTTTATTTCAGTGACCTTGGAGACTGATGTTTGTTAATGGGGTTTGGCTGTAAGAATCCCTGTAGCATCTTCCTCAGAGAGTTGGATGAGAATCTCAGACATTATTCTTTCCAGAGTCGTCATCTTTATGATGAGAAAATCACTTGTCAAGGTCTTTGATATAAGTATGTAAACTTCAGTATACAATTACTCGGATATATTTGATATTTCTGATGTATTCCTTAGTTTCTACAAGTGAACCTGGTTGATACAAAATTATTAATAGAAAAATCAAATATGAAGTAAATGAAATGAGAGAGAAAAAAAACCCCAGGAGTCCTGGTGTGTCCATCTTCCATTTTCAGCATTGTAATTCTTTCTCACTGTTGTTTTTGTTGTTTCTATCCACTTGTCATGCCCCAGGAGATGATTAAGATTATCTTAAGAACTTGGAGATATCATTGAATTGTGGAAACTTAACTGTAGAGTTCCACCAACAAATACACTATATTTTTCTCTCCATTTTGAACTTTCCAGTTCCCACAGAAGATTGTCTGGTATTTCTTCCTGGGTTAATCAAGCTTCCTTTTCCCCAGGGGCAATGTTCTCAATGATCTTTTCCCTCCAAAGATTGATTTTTGTGATGTCATATCTCATATTATTGAAATCATACAGCATGGCTTCTTTAACTCAGCTAACTATTCATGACATTTGTCTCTTTTGTTTTGTGTTCAGGTTTGAAATTCTGAAGCTGTTTTGTTTTCAGGTCCCCAGAGGCCAAAGATCTAGAGATAAACAAGTTCAGCTCAGCGCATTTTAAGGGCCAGAGATGAAAAAACCTTGTGGCTTTCTGGTTTCGTTTCCTATAATCTGAGGACTGGTGTTAGTATCTAGCTTTATGCTAGAACCATTGTAGGCACTCCATGTTTCTCCAGTGGAAACTTTTTTTTTAAGGTCTGGGGTTGGAATTGAATTGGTGTTAACCATTTCTCCAGCTACATTAACACTGCACAGTTATGAGTCTTGGAGAACTACATTGACATCTGCAAAGTGAAGGGCTGATGTAGTAGTGAACGTTCTGTCAAAATAGATTTTTTTTTTTAAGATTTATTTTATTTGTTTCAAAAGCAGAATTGTACAGAGAGGGCAGAAAAGACAGAGCGTGTAAGTGAATATGAGAAAGATTTTCCATCCAGTGATTCATTACCTAGGTAGTTATGAAGGCTAAAGCTGGGCTGATCAGAAGCAAGGAGCTAGAAGCCAGGAGTTTCTTACAGGTCTGCCACATGCATGCAGGGGACCAAGCTCTTGGACGCTCCTCCATTGCTTTCCCAAACACATAACCAATCTGCTTAATCAGAAGCTGGAGCAGCCAGAGCTCAACCAGTACCCATGTGGTTTGCAGGTGTTACAGGGACAATGGCCTTACTTGCTATGCTACAGTGACTTAATTCCCAGTGTAAACTCAGCTTCACGATAGTGTATTATTCTTTTAAAAGAATGTCATTGTATTATAGTGGTTTAAGCCACTGCCTATGATGGTAGCATCTAATATAGGTACTTCTTGAGATACTATTGCTCCAATTCAATCCATTTTTCTGCTGGTGCACCTGGGAACACAGCAAAAGTTAGCCTAAGTGCAGATCCCCTGTACCTGTGTGGGAGACCTGCAGGAAGCCCGTGCCTTCAGGCTTCAGCCTGGCCCAGCCCTGGCCATTGTAGCCATATGGTTAATAAACCAGTTGCTTTCTTTCTCTCACTTTCAGTAAATAAATATGGAAATATGTATGCTTTGCTGCTTCACTTTCAAGAGAGTTAAAATATAAAGTGTGATAAAAAAATATAAAAATAATTAAAATATAAAATATAATGAAAGGATAACCAATACATTCACTCTTTAGAATGTAAGCATCATTTAGAGACATCATTTAGTGCTATGCCACTGGTGTACCTGTGTAATGTTTTCTTTACTTCCTTCTTCACAGTTTTGCTTTGATATGTGTCTATACTTCAGGTTTCTGTTTTGTTAAACTCAATACATTTTATTGAATCATCTTTTAAAACTACAACAAAGTGGATATATTGAATATATGGCTTATATAGGCACTTGTGCATATATATAATTTTATCTAAATACAACAAGTTTACAATTCCTTTTGCCTTCCTTTGGATTCAATTTGCTGTTATCGCTCATCTTTAGGAATGCACTGCTCGTTTACTCTGATTTGGAAAAGACATGTTGGAAATAATGGCCTTTTTCCTATCTCTGAACAGGCTATTATGCACCATGAAGGGCACATGGACGATGGTTTAAATTTATCTAGATCTCAGCATGAAGAATCACGCACAGCGCGAGTTATCCGGAGCACCGTCTTCCTTTTCAATAGATTTATAAGGTACTTTTGCTTTTGTTGTGGTTGTTTGGGATTTTATTTTTATTTCCTTATTTGATTTACTGACAGACATTTCTAAAATATGACATGGTCATGAGACTATGGTTGTTTGACAGAACATACTAATAAAGGTATACTTAAACAATTTTATGCCTTTTAAATGAACTTCTAAAAAGAGATTGTGCTTTTAGAAATTGTGTAGTTTTTAACTGTTAAGCACAGATCAGGATTATTCTAAAACATGTCCATTTGTTGGACCTATCTAATTTCCCTTTACAATGCAGTTAGTAATTGTCAAAAATTGCTCATTTTCAAATTCCATTGAAGCAATAAAATGATTCTGCTTTATAATGAAAATGTTGATGTATTGACAAACTGAATCACACTTGTTAATATATTTTTGGTAATATAATTTCTGATGATGATTGTAACTTTAGCTTGTGCAGTTGTGATGGGGAACATTTATACAGTTTAATAAATATTATCCATATAAATATAAACATTTTATATGCAAATGTGTAACAGTACATATACAGATTTGCAGATTTAGATCAATATACAAACATACATTTCTTAAAAAAGAATTTCATTATACATTTTTAAAATTTGCATTTATCTGAGAATTTCAAAATGGATGTATTTTATACTTGTTAACCTTATTTCATCACATATTTTTCTTTCAATGTTTCCCATATTATTTGGTATTATTTCTTTTAGACCATTTTAAATCTTGGTTATGTTACAAATATTAATTTCCTGTCATCATAAATAAGTTTTAAGTATTTTTCCCAACATAGTGGATGTTGAAAAGAATTTTAAAGCACTTTTTATGTTAGTTATATCCTGAAACTTTTTGGTGCTCCAAAAAGGAGACACTTGCCACTCATGATTATGCTGTTCCACTTCATATTTCCTGCTTCTTTTATAAACCATCCCTCCGTATTGTGTATGCGATGTTACCATCATTTTCTAAGCATTTATTTCATTATTTGCTCCACCTATATTTTCTGGTATTAATACAGCCACATAGCTATTCTTTGACGTCAACCTCGTTTTTTCTATCTGAATTCTTTTCATTTTAGTTTATTTGTGGGCTTAGATTGTACTAGGCAATACATAGCTTCAAATAGATCATACTAGGCAATATGTAGTGTTCTTAATTTCCACTTAGGAAATAAAGAATTGGATCTTGGTTTTCATTTAATTTGATAAGTATTTATAATTGTGTTCATTTTCATGAATACAATAGGCTTAATAAATTTAATTAATACTTAAGCTTAATTGTTTTTTGTTTTGTAGCAGAGTATCTCACAAAGTTTAAGGGAAATGGAATTGAAAGAATAATTTATTTTGATGAAAAAACTTACAATCTGTATATAGGTTTTTTTTTCATTATACTTGTTTTTATGAACTCTTTGAAAATCTTTATTATTTTACACAGCTGCTTCTTGTTCATATTCCCCCTTTCAGATTGTGTGTTTTGTATGGTTTCACACAATCTCCTTTGTTGGCTTCTTAGCTCTAACTCTATATTTTCATTTCCGTGGTTGTTTGATGCTTCAAGCATTCATCTTAACTATTTATCACCTGCTTAAAGTAAGAACATTGATGTAGTTTACTTCCCTTCCAGTGTTCACTGTTTTATAATTTATTTTCCTTACATAGATTCTATGAACTCCATTTTCCGTTTTAATCATCTATATCTAAACAGCCAGTTGATTTGGAAAACAGTTATAAAAATAATAAGCACATCTAAAATATCCATAATTAGGAATTAAAATACTCATTTATTCTTTTCATGGATTCGTATTTCCTTGGGAAATCATTTTCCTCAGCTAGAAGGATTTCTTTTAGCCTTTCTTATAAAGAAATTCCTATTGGTAGTAATTCTCTCAGGTCTGTATGTCTGAAAGATATTATTGTTTTGCCTTCATTTGAAGTGATGTTTTCACTGGGTATCAAATCAAGATTGACAGTTTGGAATGTTGATGCTTCTCCTGATTGGTGATTATGTTTTATGCTTCTTTACATGTATAGTTGCCAACAATGTCATTTTCTTGGGCAATGGAAAAATTCTGCAGTGCATTTAAGTTACTTTGGTATAATTCTTTTGGGGTCCAACTTTTAGCATTTTTTTTTTGCTTGTTTTTGATAGGTAGAACCGTGTTCAGTCTGTGGCTTATTATTGTCCGCTATTGAGGCAAGATCCTCTGTGTGTTCTAACCAATGTCAAGTGAATTACGAGATTCTCACACAGGCTGGTGGAGAAGGGATTAGTTCAGTTCTGTAAGGGAAAGTGATTGTTTCTCTAATCTTACAAGAGCTTCTTTTCCTCCTTCTGATAGCTTTCTCATGTGATGTGTTGGCTGTCCTTCGACTACGTGTTTGAGGGGATCTTGTTTAGATTTCCTGGATTCTCCATTGGGTGACTTTTTTTGGGGGGGGCTGTGTCTATAAACTCAAGTTTCCTTGATCCCCCGAATTGTTTATCAAAGTCTCTTCAACTCAGGGAGTTGTTCGTATGGTATTAGCCTTGCATTCTCAGCTTCTCTCAGCTTCTCCGTGGCCTGCACATTCTTCAAGGCAGTGAACTTGGGAAGCTCCAGAGGCACCTTGTGTCTCCTCTCTCAGGAGTGCCGATTCCTTTTCCCTTGATATTCATTGTCCTGTAAAAAATGTGCTGTGTTGTGTTTATGCTGTTTAAGTTGCCTGTTTTTGTTGTTGCTGTTGTCTCATAAGAAGTAGACATGTCCTTGTCAATTTATTTTGCCAAAAAGCAGCTGAAACTTAACTGAAATCTGACATAACATATGCAGTGCTTATTTAGGTGAGTCTAACATCTCTTTGCTAATTGTGTATGGATGTATTTCTCTTTTAGATTTCATTGTACTATCAATCCATCAGACATATTCCACTTTTTTTCTTAGGAATCAAAAATCTACCTTTTAAGTGTCTTAGTTCCTTATAACCTCCTTAACAAAACCATGGATGAACAACACAAAAACCTCTTTCTTTCTCTAATATTTAACTGAGCAGATCATATTTTTTTTAAGATTTATTTATTTATTGGAAAGTCAGATATACAGAGAGGAGGAGAGATAGAGAGGAAGATCTTCCATCCAATGATTCACTCCCCAAGAGGCCACAACGGCCGATGCTATTCCGATCCAAAGCCAGGATCCAGGAACTTCTTCCAGGTCTCCCACACATGTGCAGGGTTCCAAGGCTTTGGGCCGTCCTCACTGCTCTCCCAGGCTACAAGCAGGGAGCTGAATGGGAAGTGGAGCTGCTGGGATTAGAACCACCGCCCCTATGGGATCCTGGGCGCGTTCAAGGCGAGGACTTTAGCTGCTAGGCCATTGCACCGGGCCCGATCATATTTTTTTTAAATTAAAATTCATTTTGTTTTATTTCCTTGTTTGTTTTTTGTTTTATTTCGTTTTTTCTTTTTTGTGGTTATTAACCTTAGTTGTCTTGATAATCATATACATAAAACATGGATGTTAGTTAAATGGTCATATTCTACTAGAAGTCCTGCATTTATGTAATTTTTTAATATATTCAGAAACTTCTTAGTGAAGCTAAAATTTTTATTAATAATTATATGTATTTACAGATTTGATTGTGGCATTTCATTAGACATATACAGGCATATTGATCAAAACAAAGTAATCAACTTGAACCTTCTTTTGACTTTGACAAAGCTTGTGGTTTCTTTCTTCTACTTGATATATTCAGGTTATTGTGAACTTGAGTGTCCCCACAGTGCTGTGTAACACCAGGAACTCGTTCTCTAAATCCAACTCTGCCTTTGAACCTGATACTCAAACTCCCTCTGTTGCCCAATCCCTCCTAGCCTCTAGTAATCACTATTTTGTGTCCATATAATTTTTGTTTAATTCAGAAACTTTGAACAGTATTTATACTTAATAATGTGGAAAGTACATTATTTTAAGTAAAAGATTTCTGTTATATTCTAAAAAATATTAGAAGGCTTTCAAATTTCAGTAGGTATATACTACTTGCAACTGTGTTTTTTCAGACTAAAATATTGGTATCCATTTAATTTGTGCACATTTGCAAAATATATAGAGACTGATTTAAAAATCCCACATTTGTTTTGATGCTGAGATTCTGTTTTAAAAATTTATTCAAATGTGTGCTTTTTTTTGAAGATTTATTTATTTTCATTGGAAAGGCAGATGTACAGAGAGGAGGAGAGACAGAGAGGAAGATCTTCCATCCATTGATTCATTCCCCAAGTGAGTGCAATGGCGGGTGCTGCGCCAATCCGATGCCAGGAACCAGGAACTTCTTTCTGAATCTCCCACGGGTGCAGGGTCCCGATGCTTTGAACCATCCTCAACTGCTTTCTCAAGCCACAAGCAGGGAGCTGAATGGGAAGTGGAGCTGCCGGGATTAGGACCGGCACCCATATGGGATCCTGGTGTGTTCAGGGGAAGGACCTTAACCGGTACACTATCGTGCAGGGCCCTAGAATGTGTTCTTATGCAAAAAAATAAGTAACCAGGGGCCCGGCATGGTAGCCTAGTGGTTTAAGTCCTCACCTTGTATGCACCAGGATCCTTTATGGGTGCCAGTTCTAATCCTGGCAGCTCTGCTTCCCATCCAGTCCCTTGCTTGTGGCCTGGGAAAGCAGTTGAGGATGGTGCACAGCCTTGGGACCTTGCACCTACATGGAAGATCTACAGGAAGCTCCTGGCTCCTGGCTTTGGATTGGCTGTGCTCTGGCCATTGTGGCCACTTGAGGAGTGAATCAGTGGATGAAAGATTTTCCTCTCTGTCTTTCCTCATTTCTGTATATCTTACTTTCCAATAAAATTAGTAAGTAAACAAAAAGCAATCAGAAAAAAATCTATTCAGATATCTCTGTTTTACCTATTAGAATATAAATCAAGATCTTTTCACCTTTTCTCATTTTCATTTTTCTTTTGTGATTTCACATCTGTGAATTCTGTTCCCTCGCCCCCTGGCAAAAGTGATGATGGTAGTACTGCCATGTTCAGGTTTGTAAGCAAGCGGGGAGTTCTGTCCTCTTATGTGAATACACACAGGAAGGTACAACATACAGTGCATGAGAAGATGGAATTAACACATGAAAATGAAATGCAAATTTCTCAAAAGAAACTGCATCAATTTAACACATTTTTATATGTAATAATACCAGCCATTTAGTCCATCTCCAAGAAATTTAAGAGTCCTGGGAATTTAACTATGTAAATGCAGTCTTTATGTCACATAATTACCTAAAAAAAAAAAGACGAGGGCGCTTTGTATATTTGTTTTTATGATTAAGAAGCAAAAAGAAGTCATAGGGAGCCCAATCAGGATCAGAAAGTAAATGCCGAATGATTTCCCATGAAGCCTGGAAAACACATCATTACGTATTAATTTCTAAATCATGTCTTTGAGATAATAGAACATCTTGAAATATTTTTTTGTGTAGTTACTAACCAAATGTCATGGTAACATCATTGGAGGATTTGTTTCTAACTGTCAAGAGTTAAACGGAATGGTAAGCTAGTGTCACTGATAGCAAAACTGAAGAAACCCCTTTCAGCAAGCAAACTGTAAGCAAATGTCAGATTGTGAATCTGGAAAAATGCAGCTGAAATGTGAGAATGTACATTGCTTGACATTGAAAAGCAGTTGGTTCCTAAGTAAGCTTTTGGTTTTATAGGCATTGATTCTTTTAGTCACCTAGTTTTTTTCTACATGAATGGCTCCAGATAATGGTTTTTATAGCACAACATTATATACACATTACAACATACACATGTCTGGAATAAATGTTTTTTATTATTGCTTCCTGAGGAAAAGACAGAATGTTTTATATGTTCCATTTACAGTGAAATCATCCCTAAATGTAAAAACTAATAAAATTGTGAATCATAGATATAAAAGAACTGTTTCTGCTTTTTATTTAGGGGCCTTGATTCTCTCAGCAAGAAAGTAAAGGCCTCCTCAGTGGATTTGCCCATTGAGTCAGTGAGTCTGAGTTTGCAAGACCTGATCGGCTACTTCCACCCACCAGATGAGCACTTGGAGCATGAGGACAAACAGAACCGACTGAGAGCTCTGAAGAACCGACAGAACCTCTTCCAGGAAGAGGTAAGGCTGCCAGTGCTCTTTTCTTTTCTGTCCTTCCCAGGGGAAACAGCTTCTTGATGGAGCAATTTCTGCACCTATTGGACAGCCTTATGGTGTCAAGCATAGGGTAACAGCTGTGTTACAAATAGGGGAAATATGCCTTGTAGAATATGAAAATTAGTCTTATTTCTCTGTCAATAAATGATCATCTTAAAAGATAAAACATCTTCCTTTTTCATGTGTGTGTATGCTCAGTGTGTATGTGTCATGTGGTCATTTCTCAGTGCTAGAGTTGGCTTCTTGGTGATTATATAAATACAGAACATTAAAGTACTTAAATTAATATAGTTTTTTAAACATCAGGGTTTCCAGACTACTCAGTAGGTTTCAGTATCCTAAGGGAACTTGGTGTAGGTGGTAGAAGCTGTCTTGGACAGAGCACTCTGGAAATTGCTCTATCTGGCCGTGGTGGATGGAAAAACCCACCCTTTCCTTTAGCCTGTGTTACATATTCATGATTGATGTCACTTCGCTCCAGCTTGCAGTGCTAAGATGAGCTGGCATGACATGCTTTTTTAAAATGGTATTTTTATTGGAAAGCAAGATACACAGAAAAGAAGATCTTCTGTCCGCTGATTCACTCCCTATGTGGCCACAATGGCTGAAGCTGAGCTAATCCGAAGCCAGGAGCTTCTGGGTCTCCCACACAGGTGCAGGGTCCCAAGGCTTTGGACTGTCCTTGACTGCTTTCCCAGGCCACAAGCAAGGAGCTGAATGGGAAGCAGGGTGGCCAGGACACAGACAGGTGCCCAGATGGGATCTTGTGCATGCAAGACAAGGACTTTAGCTACAAGCCTACTGCACTTGGTCCACATATCACAGTTTTTAAACTGAATAAGGGAAGGACAACGTGACATGTCTAGTGTCTGAATGCTGTTATTGGAGCTAGAGTTGTGAAGTCAAGAGTTTGTGAAGCTCCTCTGGTTGATGGGGAGTGTATCAGGCTAGCTCAGTGAGAGCTGCAGCTCTTTTTCAGTGTACGTTATATGGAGAATAATGATTTTTTTTTCCTGAGGGCAAGAATCTTTAGCAAAGTGTCTAAGGAAAAGATTACTGAGCATTGATGGATTCTTATAATCTCTAAATCTTTATTCTGGTGCTAAAGCTATTTTCTAATATCTTTGAAATTGACATTAATGCTTAGAAGAGATTTTTACCATGTATTCAAGATAAATGACCTTTCCAGTAACCACAGTGACATGAAAACCAAGGAACTGTCCACATAAACCAATAATAATGGCAACACGCTTGTAAGCTTAGTAATCAATGAAGGTGTGCCATTATGCTTATGTCACAAAAACAGCAAATGCCACAATTAACTGTTTCAGTTAGTCTAGGAGGAGATTTTGCAGATTTAAGTGTTAAGTACATGTGCTGTTTGAGAATAGCACTCAGTTCTTAAAATTCATTTGAATTATTTGAAGATCACTTCATTTCACATGCAAATGTATTTCTTGTCCTTTGAATGATTTTATTTTGATTGTGATTAACAGACTTGCTTTATGTCAGATATATTGTCCCAATCAGCATGGTATTTGTTGCCTGTGAGTAGAAGTGAAATTGTGATGGTGATTTTTTTTTTTGAACCTTGCAGGGAATGATCAACCTTGTGCTTGAGTGTGTAGACCGATTGCATGTCTACAGCAGTGCAGCTCACTTTGCTGATGTTGCTGGGAGAGAGGCGGGGGAGTCCTGGAAATCCATTCTGAATTCTCTGTATGAGTTGCTAGGTAAGAACTACGTTTGGGTTTTCAAGGCATTGGAGGCTGACAAATGTAATGTGCTCTTGTATCAGGTACAGTAATTTTATAACATGCCTCTTAACAGTTAAAATTTTAAATTTTGTTGGATTAGATTCAATGATGTTTAGTGTCTAAGCCCATCTATAAGCGAGGAAGTTAGCCACGACAGTGCATTTTTCACCTTTGGTTAAAAAGAAGCAGTAGATTTTTTTTGTTGTTGTTACATTTAGACTGTAGTTTTGGCATTTAGAGGGAAGTCTGTATGGAGATGTGTGTGCTGTCCTTTGATGAGTGATGGACTTTGTGCACCGAGCCGCTCCTTATACACATGATTATTGACCATCAGTCAGTAGCCCAAAGTTTATTAACATCAAAGGATTTTTAAAGACTGAGGTTCACATAGGTATAAGGAAGAAGGGTTTGAGGCAGGATGTGGTTTACAGGTTAAAAACAAGAGGAGATTTACTAGTAAACGACATGTTGTAAGGGGCACCTCTGTTGGATCTATTATTAAAATGTGAGGCTTAGGGAGTACCTGGCCTGTGTGTTTCCATACCAACTGCTCCTGAGGTATTCTCAACTGAATTGCAGCTGGCTGTGGCTTTACACTGGCAAGGCTTCCCATTGCACTCTCTTAATCAGTTGTCTTCCCATAGATGTATGTTGAGTATTTTCTTTTGAGTTCTAGAGTTAATCCTACAAAGGTCTCTTTTCTTATAATCCCATCACGTCAAGGACCTGCTTCTTTTTCCTTTGTTTCTAGCATCTACATTTGGCAACTTCTAGATATGCCTGACATTTTCAGTAAGCAATACAGAAAAATGGTTTACTCTGAATTCCTGTTGGCTCTGTGCAGATTTAGTTCTTTGATATTTTGGTCTGAACTGTTCTACTTGCCTCTTTGTCTCTTGTCAAGAACTGTAAAGGATATGAAGTTTTCCCAGTTGCACCCTAAGAAGTTAGACTACAGTCTGGGCAAAGTGGTACAGTTCATTACTAATACAATGACTGTGGCCAGAGTGTGAGCATTATTATAAAAATTCCATTCTCTGGTCCCCAGTTTTCATAGGACAATGTGAAAGGAACAAATGGTAACTGCACAGAGTGGATTGTGTTACAGAGAAGAAATCCCGAGTGTCAAGGTTCCATATTGGTTATAATGTGCTATAAGCCTGCTTGTCCTTTGCTCTCTATAGAGAACACGATCTCTTTCCAGGGCTGCTTGCTGCAAATATTTTTGAAAAGATAATCTTGAATAATGCTTCAATGCCTTATGACAAAAACCACCATGGGTAGGAGTCTTTTTCTCCTCTCTAGCCCTTACCTCCAAATCTTGGTTTTATCTAGTGTGTTACAGTTAATTTTCACTTTCTTTTGTTTAGATAATTATCCTATTTCCTTATCTTTCTAGAAACTGAAGTTCACTGTGCTTCTCCGGGTGTGTAAGGCCCAACCTAACCCTTCCAGTTGTGTGTGTTTCCACTATTTACTCCTCCACTTTGAACCATATGATAACTTCTTGAACTTCACATCTCTATTGAATTCTTAGGCTCACCTTTTCTGAAATTCCTATATATCCTTCAAGATTTCTTTCGTATGTTTCTATCTGCTGGTTGCTCTTCAGATTCCTTCCAATTCTTAAGCACAATCTTACCTTCTTTCTCTGCATTTAGTGTTTGCTTGCATCAGTAGCGTTTATCTCCTGTCTTGTTTTTGTGTTGGATTTCAAGAAAGAGAACAGTGAGTTTCTGATTTTTATATCTGTGTTATTTAACTTAATGTCCGGTACCCAGTAGATAATCAGTGGATATGTACTAATTAAATGGCTGAATCCTGACAGAAATTACTCATCTGCATGAAAGAGAGCATGTATTTTAATGAAGAATGAAGGGTAGTCAAATATTTGATTATTTTTTGTACTATAATAGAACTTTATTAATTTTTTACAGTCATATTATTTAGAAAATAAGCCTTTGTGTCTGCTAGTTTTTGATATGCTTCAGTTGGATGAGCTATTGTGCTATTTGAATACATGCTATTTTGGTCTTTTAACCCAAAGGTTAGCATTTCTGTAAATCACGCCAGGAATATTGAAGCCAGATGGGAACCTAGATTTATTATTTTTGTCTGCAACAATCATCAGACTAAGGATTTTGTGCTGCTAGAATTGTAAAGGTTCTGTTTCATTGGAAGCGTGGGTGCTATAGCACTGGATTTATGAAACTAGTGGAGATTGAAGTATGAGAATTTTTTAACACCACGCTCTAACTGCTTCACTTGATATTATAATATGAAAACCTTGGATAAATTATGTGAGTAAAATAAAGAGGAGGGTCATCTCCATGTATTTCAGCATAGAATGGATAATGTACAGAGAATTTTATGGTTGATAATCTGGGTAATATGCATGTTATATTTTCCCATCATAATGTCTCCATTTGTTGTTTCCTTCCGTATGTCATGTACTCAGATATATATGGCAAAAAATATTAGCAGAGAGAATTATGAGTATCATCTTTTTTTACAAAAGAAGAAAAATTTCATTCCAGCAAAGTTGACACTTAAGCTTTATCTTTCTGAACCACTTCTCCCTCAAGCTTGTATATTCTATGAACTCGCAGAGTTACTTGGGCATTTAATTTATTTTAGAGCTTACTGAGTCAGCATTAAAACGCTTCTACAAAATGCTGGAGGCTTGGTGGGTGTTAGCACAATTCCTCACCATAATTAGTTTTGTGGTTTGACTTTACTTCAGTATGGTTGGAAATGTGATTTTAAGATGGGTAACCTATTTAAATAGGAAGTTAAATCCTCATTGCAAGTGGGGAGATGTATCCACTGGGATGTTTTCAGTTGGAGATAACGAAATGCTTACATTCAAAGTAGCTTCAATAGCAAAGGGAGTTTGCAGCCTCACACAAATGGTTGCATTTGGTCCAATAACTTGTCCATATTCCCATAAACAATTCTGTATGTTTCCACTCTTCCTTACTTAGGGTCAGCTTCTTCCAAAGCTGGCTTCCCTTTATGTCACCAGCTGGTTTCTGTCACTTACTAGTACTGACAGAGAAATGAAGTTAGATTGCTCCTAAAAGTTATCTTCCAGAAATAGAACATACTATTTCTCTAAATGCCCCATTAGACCACCCCTCACTTCTCATTAGCTCAAGCCATGGCTAATGATATTACCAATCCAGTCATTCTCACAAGGGAAGTGAAGTTTACCTACACTGGCTTTGAATGAGTGGAAGCCTGTTCCTGAAATTGGGATCAAACCCTCAGCCTGCCAAGCTGTTATCCAGAAAGTATGACAGGAGCTGTTGTGCGTGAAGCTCAGGTGGCTATCACAAATGCTAATTCAATGTCCATGAACCAGATTCTGATTGGAATGTTTTTATCCACAGCTAGCAACATGCTTCAGCTAGCAAGGCAGTTAATACACATTTATTGAATTATTTAGGAAATACTTTGCAGAGACCTCCCACCAATATCTGTAGTTCGCTTGTCCAAACCCAGCCTGATCACCCTTCTGTGAGTTTCTTTTTCCTGCAAAACAGAATCATAACATTTGATCTAATGGCAACAACTCATGAGAAAATGACACTCTCAGTGTCTGTCATGGTCTCTTAATCCCAGCTCTGTCACTAGGGTGACTTTGGCTACACAACATAATTGGTGCTGTTTTCTCAGCCAGCAAGTGGAAGAAGTAAAAATGCTGTTTTAAGGTTATTATCCCATTGTTTGAGTTTGATCTGTGGCATTTAAAAAAAATTACAGGCACGAAAAAGTGATACCTGTTTTTATCACAAATGTTATCTATAAATTGGCAATAACTTCAGTCAGTTATGTGGCTTAAATTTGGCAGTAAACATCAGGTACTTAACATGGCATTTAATTACTCTTTCATTATTTCTGTTTCATTTATGTGCACTTATTGTTAATATCCTTTTTCTGTTGACAAAAGTAAAATTATCTTCTCCAGTTTCTGCTTCAAGTATTTTTTTTTCTTTTATAAAGGAGCTTCACTTAGGACCTTTTGAAATGATATGGGGGAATTCTGGGAAACCTTATTATAAAGATACAGGATCATGATTATTATAGATGCACAGTAGTTCTTGATTTCCTCATCACAAAATAGAGGGGAAAAAAAATCCGTATAGTTCTTTGCAGCCAGAAGATGTTGCATCCTATTATTCTACTCATTTTCTGATTGCAGTATTACTACTTATATTTGAGTCCTTAACAGCGTGTAGGTCGGCTCGTGTTCACTTACTGCAATTGATCCTCTGTAGCTGTCAGTTTCATATCTACGGATTATGATCACTGTATATTGAAAGCATTAAAAAATGCATCTACTCTAGGCCTGGCATGATGGTCTCATGGCTGGGTTCTCACCTTGCGACCACAAGGATCTCTTATGTGCACTGGTTTGGGTGCTGGTAGCTCCACTTCTCGTCTAGTTTCCTGCCTGGCTCCCTTCATCCTCCTCCTGTTGAAGCATGCTGCTAGCTACTGGATAAAAGCATTAGAATTAGAATCTGTTTCATGGACTCTGAGTTGGCATTTGTGATAGCCACCTGAGCTTCATCCGCAGCAGCTCCTGACATACTCTCTGGAGGACTCCCCAAGGTCCTAGGACCCTGCTCTATTGTGGGAGACTCTGGGGAGGCTTCTGGCTCTATATGGGTGCTGGTTTGTGTCCTGGCTGCTCCACTTCTCATCTGGCTCCCTGCTTGTGACCTGGGAAAGCAATGGAAGATGGCTCAAGGTCCTGGGACCTTGCTTCATTGTGGGAGACCCCAGGGAAGCTCCTGGCTCCTGATCAGCTCAGCCCTGCCTGTTGTGGCCACTTGGGGAGTGAACAAATGGATGGAAGATCTTTCTTTCTTTTTCTCCTTCTCTCTGTGTATCAGCCTTTCCAATAAAAATAAACAAATCTTTTATTAAAAAGAGAGATTGAATTGTAGAAATATTTATGCATCTGACTA